AGAAAAAGAACGAATCGAATCAACAAAATATATAGAAAGAAAAAAAAGAATTGAGTTCTCTTCTTTATCAATGTTAAATGATCATTTCATAATAATAAGAGTAAATAGTTTATTTAAGTAGATATTTTAAATAAATCAGTGTAAGAGAAGTTTAGCAGTTTTTATGTGTAACATACATGTTTTCCATCTAAAAATAGTTGTCAATTTAATGACTTTTCAAGCAGTTATTTATCAAAAAAGTAGTAGATGTGTATGTTTACTTTATCTGATGCATGTTACACACAGAAGAATCAGCATCATTGATGAAACGTTACTTAAAATAAATATAACAATAAAAAGAGATGTTACAGATGTCAATTCAATTCAATGATCTTCTTTTTCTCAAGTCATGATGGTAGTTTACGTATTTAACATAGGTGGACAACTCCATTTTTTTATATTGAATGTAAAGTCTATGAAAGAAAACATATCAAGTCATTTCAAATTTGCAAACTCGTACCGAATCAATAAAAATTACATTATTCAAAAGAACATAAGAAGTTGAACAAAGTATATTCCCAAGTCTCTGGCAACAAATTTTTTAAATAGACTTCCAGCAGAAGCACCAATACTCTTTTTTTTCTCTCTCTCTCTCTCTTAATGACCTATTTTTGTGTCGTTGTTTCGTTTTCTTTGTTCTGCTTGACTGGTAAACAAGCGTATAAACTTGTATATATATTATATATCCAACTGGTAGTAAAAAAAAACAAAATCTTGTCATACTGCTCGTGATGATGATGATGATATCTTAGTTTAATTTAGAAACAAGTAGTAATAATAAAAATTCTTCTAAATAGAAATAAGATACTTCTACACAATCATATTTGATTATTATATTCAGAGAAACGTTTATTTAAATACTGAATATTTTAAGCTTGATGTATCATTCAAAAATATTTATTGAGTTTTTGGTCATTTTATTCTTTTTATTGATTCAAAAATGCATCACTTTTGTTTTTGCTTCTATTAAAATAGATTATCAATAAATATAATGTTTCCAATGTATAAAAGCACTATTTTTTCTTTTCTCCTCTCAATCGTCAGTATCAATGTTAGATAAGAAATCCTATCGAAAACGAACACGTTTGTCTCTCAATGGATACATAAGCTGATATAGAGAATAAGGATCTTGATCAGAAAGAATCATTCTTTTCTTTTTCAATTTTACTACTATTTTTATGTCTATAACTGGACTTATAACTGATACGATGATTTTCTTAAACTCTCTACAGTTTCAGATCCGACCAAAACAAACAGAGATTATGTACAAATAAATTGTCAATTGGAAAAACTCGTCCATAGCTCTTCTGTGTGAGAATTAATTGTCATCAAACTAAGATTGAAAAATCATTAGATGTTGTTAGTATGTCTTGTATTGCATTAGCTTGACGATTTTCTTATTCGATCTCATTTAAATTTTCTTCTCTCTTAAAGTGATATTACTTGTTGAACGATGTTATGCTGATCAATATTCACGCAGCTTGTGAGGAAACAAAACGCAAAAATCAATGGAAGTTTTTCACTATTTTGTTCATTGAAATAATTATATGTTTGAAAACAAGTAACAAATGGAATTGTCTCAATATGATATGAGGGAATACAATAAAGTGTATCACCAATCACACTAACATCTCTTGTATCATTGATCGTCACAAGAAGATTATATGATATGAAGGAATAGAATAAAGTGTAACTCCATCAACACTAACATCCCTTCTATCATTTTTCCTCACAAACAGAATAATGTGCCAGCACATAGACATCATTTAACATAAGAATGGTGTCGTCGAAATTTGCCGTTGTTTATTAGCAAAGAATATTGGCCTGTGAATAGTCCAGACTTTAATCCTTTCGATTATTGCATAAAGAACGAATTGATTCAGGCAATGGACTGGCATAAAGTCAAGACCAAACTGACTTTGATTGCTGAATTAAAACGAGCGGTAAAGAAAGTTAGACTCGAAGTTGTTGCGCAAAGTGTAGAAGATTTTAGTAAAATAATGTATCACACTCTATCGAATGATGGAACGTATTTACATTAAATAAAATATATCATTTTGTAGAGAATTTCACGGCGCATCTCTTAAAAGAAACCGCAATTCTATAAACTGAATGGTGACCGAGATATAGGTAGAATAGTGAGTGATCGATTTCTTCTGAAGCACCCGTTATATAGAGATACCTTGATATGTCGTATAATCCTTCTGAAAATTGTAGAGTAAAACAGAAAGTCATCATGTTTGTCCACTAAGTGAATTAAAGATATAAGCCCATAGTATTATTGTGAAAATATGGAACTTTTTTTTTCCAACCAACAGACGAAATCTTTCTCTTTAGCTCTTGTACAAGCAATGGTTTCAATTATCGTATGTAGAAAGATTTGCATTGAACAACATACATGCTCTTTTCGATAAGATCTCTTATGGAATACTGATGGGGACAATCGAGAGAAGAAAAGCAAAAAAAATATTGCTCTTACACATTTCAAACCTAATGTTTATTGATAATCTATTTTAATAGAAGTAAAAACAAAAGGAATAGATTTTGAAACTGAGGAAGAAAATAAATGACCAAAAACTCAATAAATATTTTTGAATGATACAATAAATTTTTTTCTGAAAATAGTAATGAAATATGATTGCGTATAAATGATTTATTTTTATTGAGAAGAATTTTTAACATTCGTACTTGTTTCTGAATTACATTAAGATATTATCATCATCACAAATAGAATGACAAGATTTTGTTTTGTTCTACTACCAGTTGGATATATAATATACGTACAAGCTTATACGTTTGTGTAGGAGTGAAGAAGAACAATGAAAACGAAATAACGAGAAGAAAACGTCATTCCGAGAGAACGAGAAAGAGAAAGAGAAAGAGAAAGAAAGAATCTTGGTGCTTCTGTTGGACATCTATTTGAGAAAATTTCGCCAGAGACTTGGGAGTAGACTTTCGAGAAAGCTAGTGCGCTTTGCTTTGCTTTTTATGTTCTTTTGAATGATGTAACTTTCAATGGATCCGCACGACATCGAAAATTTCGAATAAGTTGATATAATCAATAATATGCGGAATTCATTATTTTGTTAAATTGTTTCATTTATTATTAGCGTACATGTAATACCATATACTAATTCTGATCCATTAAATATTCTATCGACTTCATTATCTCATAAAAGTGAACCAGTAATTTGATTGATTGAAATTCGTGTTGAATTATATCTAAGATGAAATTCATCAATATCATTTAACCGCATGCGATCAATATCAAATTGAAGAAAATTATTTCTAGTTATATTATAAATTAATAAGTTTAAATAATAAATAATTGCAGTATGATTTATATGAAGTAATTAATTTAATATGAGCTGGTATCGAACAATTTAATTCATTAGTTTCAAGTAAAACTATAAAGCAATAAATATTTCATTTTCCTTTATAATCAAAGCGTGAATTTCATGTAATTATACCAAAATAAAACAAAAAGAAAATATTTATGTCTACAAAAAAAAGATTAACAAACCTGTATGAGAATCAGGAAGAAATGGTTGTATATGATTATTAGTGTAATTTAATTTCAAATATATTTTATCCATTCAGTGTCAAGTATTATTTATAAATAATGATATATTTTGTGCTGTCTCAATTATTGTACCGATCGAAGATTCTTTTTCAATCATATATTCAATTGGCATTTATCAAAAAATAGTTTTCAATATTTAAGATGAAAGAAAAAGAAAAAGAAAAAGAAAAAATTAATTATTGTTGGACAAATAAGATATGACTATTTAGGTGTTCGAAACATTAATATATTATTACAACAATAAAGAGTATTGTCATAGAGTTTCTTCCAAGAAGTTTTTTTCAGTGTCTCTTGACTATTCAATTCAATTTTATCAAGTAATTTTTTTATAATGATAGGTCCATATACCGACCTTTTAATTAGACGAGTAAACTTGAAAAACGTCCTTGAAAGCTATCATCCCTAATCGAAATACAGAAATTTTGTCTTTTTTCTATATTTTGAAAAACATTATAGGACGATTTATTTTTGATTACTTCAACTTCTTGAATTATTCCTATCTTTAAATTGTTCAGATCTTTAATATTTGTTATATGGACATTTTTTTTTATATATTCCCATAAAATGAAATCCAATGACTTTACATCTATTTATCGTAAAACTAATCAGATTGATAAACTTGAATTTGGTCGAAAATAAAAATGTCGAGAAGAAAAATATCGAAAGTAAAAACATTGAAATAAAACTTTATTGTAAAAAAAAGAAAAATTTTTAAAGAGAAACTTTCGAAAGATGTGTGATGAAGGTGTCATTATTGCATGATGAATATTGATTCATCTTATAATAAATCTATCATTCGTCTAGAAGACTATTGGTAATTCAGTACAATGAAATAGATAAAGAAGAATAAGAATAAGAATCTTCAGTTGTTCATTATACGAGAAACAATATAAAGATGGTAGTCACCATTGAATCAACATGTATCATGAACGATGATTAGAATTTCATTAATTCGAGTAAAGGACAATTGTTTTTAGTAATGAATCAATACGTATACAAATGTAACAAAAAAAACGGCGAATAAAAGATATTGGGTATGTATAGTTAAAAGCTGTGATGTATTTGTTCATACCGATATATATATAACAATTATCTGTGTGGTGGTAAAACTAACCATTCACACCCACCAAATTCTGAATTTATTCAAATCAAACAAACTAGTGAAAAAAATAAAGAGATGTGCAATTAGCGAGATAACATCTATTGGGAAATTTTATGAGAAAGAAATGGCAGAAATTACAATGAATTTAGTGGCAGTGGCCATCTTTCCAACAGTGCATGAAATATGTAAGTTATTTTACAAGTACCAATTAATAGATAGCATTGTCTTATTTCTAGATTCAACTGCTGTCAAAAATCGACGTAAAATGATAGCATCAGTACCAGAATCATGTTTTCTTATATTCCTAATGAATTTAAATTAACAATTGAAAAAAAACGATTTTTATTTATTGATGAAGCTCGTGTAAGACGTGAACGTTTATTACTTTTTGCAAGTGATACTCAACTAGATTTATTATTCAATTCATCAATTATCTATATGAACGGTACATTTAAAAAAGCTTCATCACACTTCGCTTAGATACATATAATACGTATTATCCATTTTGATATTTGTAAGCAAGACTCTTACTCTTCTTTTGAAAGGTTTTTGTCATTTATTTTAAGGTGTGCCATGTGTGTTTCATTTATTGATTAATAAAAAAGGTTCAATATATAAACAAACGTTTACTGCATTAAAAAATATCGTTTTAAAAAGAAAAACTATTTTTTCAAGCTCAGTTATTATGATTGATTTCGAATCTGGTTCGATTTCTGCGGTAAAAGATGAAGTAAATATCTTCTAATTTAATTGAAAAACATACTTTTCTATTTGGTACCGTTTTAGTTTCCAGCGGCTAAACATATTTGCTGCTATTTCCATTTTTGTCAATCAATATATAGGAACATTCAGTTTTTGGGATTACAGCAGCAGTATACTATTGATGAAACATTACATGCTTTATGTGGATAACTAATGGCTTTGCCATTGATGCCACGGTGATAAAATTTTATATGCTTTTGATAAAATACAAGAAATTGCAAATCTTTTACCTGATCTACCAATGATTGAACTACTGAAATGTTTTAACAATAACCAGATGTCAGATATTGATTTATAAAATGTATTCGGCTTTGATCATCAAACAAACAATGTTTGTGAAGGTTATGATTTATGTTTAATGAAGTAAAACGATCAATTTATGTTGTATGATTGCAGGTTATCATAATAGATTAAATTCTTGTATTTATCGTAATCATCCAAATGTGTAGAATTTTATCAATTATGTGAAAGCGGAAGAAAAACGTGTAAAAAAAACATTATACTTTAACGGTCTTCTAGTGCATTGAAGCAAAAAAATAAACGAACAACAACATTACGGAGTTGAATAAACATGTTATATGATAGATATAACAATTATCTCATTACAGCATATGATCTCCTCAAGAGTTTGTCTTTAATTGTAGCAAAAAAGAAGTTATAATCAAGCAACAGGAACATTATATAAATGTGGATAAACTATTATTTCGAAAAATTCTTATCTTGTCTTTTATTCTTTTTTCAATAATAAGCATTTGATTCGAATTAAGCTGGTTGATTCATTGATTTTTATAACGGGACAATGTGTGGAAGTATTCCTTTGGCTTCGACATTTTTACTTTCGACTAAATTCAAGATAATCATCAGATCAGCTCATCTCTTCTAAACTACTGACTATTAAACTTCTTGATCAGCCAGAAGCAAATTGTCTTCGAGCCAAGTGTTGATGACAAAGTACGTGAGATTCTAAGTTTTCAGAATAGAATCCAGGTTCGAACCAGGTCGAACCATACTTTGATAATCACAATAGAATTTTCTAATCGAAACTAGATAGTCGCTCAGACAATACAAGACACTTTTTTCAAGTTTTTTTCTGTTCGCTGACTGAAACATCCTACATATCTATCAGGCAACTAAACTTCGTGGAGCTCGAAATTTTTGGACCTCGATTTAGTTAATGCAAAATTTTCGGGCTCGGGCTGAAACTTGGACAAGCATCCAATCCGATCGACGGCCAACTATATCGGCTCTATCTGGAAATATTCCTCTCTTCAGTAGGTTTAACTTGGTAGATTGTATTTAAGAAAAAAGCTCAAACGATTATCATGAATAATCTTTCACTAGACAAAAAATACTCGATGAATTCAAAGAGATTCTAACAGATCACACAAATATGGTACAACACCTTTTTTTTATAATCCAATATTTTTTTTCTCTTTTTACTCTTCATTTCGTTCGTACAAGATTTAAAAACTCATTTATATATATTCAAAACTTCCTGAGAAAATCTTTTATATTCTTGCATTATGTTCACAAATAACAGCAATTCTTAATGACGATTATCATTTACCAGGCATATCGTTTTTATATGCTTCATTAAGATTACTTGTTTGTGTTCTTTTAAGATATCATGCAAATATAGTTGTTGACTTATAATTAGATATAATTTTTCAAATAAAACTATATATAGAAACAAATTCAAATAATGAAAACTTTAATATATTAATTGTATTCAATGTTAAACTTCTTAGTGAACATATTACATTGTGTACAACAAATGAAAGTAAATACGATTTCTTATTTATAAAAAGAAAAATAATCATATTAGTTTAGATATTCAAATATAAATATGTGTTATTCTACATTTATTATTGTCAACATGTTTTATTTTTCTTTCAATAAAAGCTGATGATCAAAAACAGTTACTATTAACGATAGTTCAATTTATTGAACATATGGATGTGTGTGTGAGTGTGTAAGAGGGTAGTATGAAAGCAAAAAAAAGAACTTTGACATTCACAATCGCAACATTGCTCGTTAGCAGTGAAATGGTTACATATAACATCAACGACTGACAATGATGTCATTATCAATCGTTCAATGTTCTCTATAGGCGTGCTCGATGCACCAGAAACAATTGCATTTTGTAGCAGGTCTTATTGAGAAAGATTCAGTTGGATTCCTAGATATCATCTTATCTAATTTAGATCTCGAGTAGAGTAACAGGACGAATGACTATTTTCAATGGTCATGATTCTTCATAGGTTCAGTAAACATGTGAAGTTCATGAAACTTTACGCTGACATTGTGTGTTTTCTCTATTTTGATTAAATAGCCAAACGTTTATCCAATGGTTCTTTGCTTTCTTTAGGTAACTGTTGTTTTCTATTGAAATGATGATCTTTATTGAGGAGGAGAACTTCTTTTAAACAACTATTCAGGTTTCTGTTAATCTTCATGATGAAAGGAATGTGAGAAAATAACTTCGATGCAATACTGCCAATGACAACGTGTAAATAATCGATGATAGAAAGTTCTCGAGCACAATATGAATATTAAACGTCAATGTAAAAATAAAATGTTACTTTCTCTGTCTCTTCTCTTGAAGAATAACAAAATTATGAAAACTATCGATTTATCATTATTTCTATCAAACAACAAAGAGTGATCGAATACAGAAAAAGATGTTGACAACTAATCTTTTATTTCAATATTTAAAAGATGGAAACCATACATTGCATGAAAAAGAAAAGAATGAAAGAAGAACTAATATTTGCGTAGTGATGGAAATAGTTGACGACGATCATAATCACGAAAGCGAGTTTGGCAATTTTGAAGAATGATATCCAAGAGTTGATTGCCAATCGCTGTGTATTGCTCTCGTAGATTTTGGGCGACCTTGTCACGTGTTCGAGCTGAATCCAAACCCTTGAAGTATTGTGTGCAATTTGATGTAAGAAGTGCTGTATTACCAGCATTTTTGAAATATGATATTTCTTCTTTTCGTTTTTCGAAGAAATTTGTGAAAGAGCCATTGTTACTCAGTTGCGTAATAACTGCTTGCATTTGCTTGACGTATGATTGAACCAAGGTGCTATTAGCGCAAAGTCTCGATTCTCCTTTGTTGCCATAACCTCTACCTCCAATTGGACCACCATAATGATTGTTACCACCACGATGACTATCATAGCCACGGTGACTATCATAGCCACGGTGACTATCATAGCCACGGGGACTATCATAGCCACGGGGACTATCATAGCCACGGGGACTATCATAGCCACGGGGACTATCAGAGCCATGATGACTATCATCATGACGACTATCACCACGTTGTCGTTCATTGTTACCAGCTGAGACCAATCCCAAACATACCTACAGTCGACAAGTAATGAAAATTTTACTAACAAAATAGTAAAGAAACTTACGAGAGCAATGAGAATGATGAGTTTAACCATATTGTTGTTGTGATTGTTTGTTGTGTGTAAGATAATGTTTGTGTACGGTTTATTTATATAGTCATTGTTGAGTTGAGGATTGAAGAGAAAGAAAAAATAAAAAGAATATCGTTGTTTTTTGCTTCATTGTAACTATCACACCCAATCAAGAACCTGACATAGCGATGCACTAATTATGTTACGCATTAGTGATTTCTTTTTTTTTCTTACCACGATTCGAAATCTCTGGAGAAAAAGTGCATTAACTCAACATAAATATATAATTCTTTTCAAAAAACACAATTCATTTATTCTTCATGCTAATCAATAGATCAAGATCAAATGTGTACTTTTTGAATATATCGTGAGTTAAAGTCTGTGCTACAAGTACGTATTTTAGCGTGACCAACAAAATGAGTCACATACAATACTTCGCCACTCCATGATAAGTCATCGATTTTGTATGCGATGAGTCATTAAAACAGATCGATTATTACTCTCATTATTTTTTCTTTCTCGTCATTATCATTTGATTGATCACGCCCAGAAATGAAAACGTATGAAACAGACGATAGTTGTATTGTGATCCATTTCAAACTATGGAAATGAGTCAACATTACATATTTGATCATTGGATAGGATCAATGCAAAAAATGTATTACCGCAGCTCCTTTTGGTACTGAATGTGCAATTTCCGTATTTCATATAAACTAGCAAATAATTTAGTATGAATTTCTTTTAATGTAATGCAGGACAGTTTAATATTCGGAAGAAGTGAAGTGAAACAATCAAAAGTTTACACAAATAAAAGATTTATTTGCTTAATGATAGTGGCCAACATTACTAATTAAGTATAAAAAATGTTTTTTTTTCTGTCAATTATTTTCGATATGATAAAATTGTTGTCGCCTCTTTGATGTATAAAACTAAATACAACATTTGATTAGTTTATGATAAAGAATTCATTTTCTTTCTCATCAGATAACAACATTCTTATTTCTATGATGTAATCAAGAAAAAAAA